TGAAGATCCGGACGTGCGGCCCCAATAGCAGGCAGAGTGCCGCCCCTTTGTATTGGCCGCCCCAAGCACCTGCTTCTTTAGCTGGTGCCTGGAGCCGGCCCTGAGAGACACAGGCCGTGGCTACACTCAAAACTTCAAAGCGCTGCTGCGGGAGCGCGCCTGTGACAGCGCTTTGAAGTGCTAGTGTGGTCGCGCGCCAGTGCTGGGAGAGAGCTCTCCCAGCGCTGCAGGTACTCCACCTCCACTAGGGGATTAGCTGGGGCACTGTTTACACTGGTGCTTTCCAGTGCTGTAACTTGCTGTGCTCAGGGGGGTGTTTTTTCACTCCCCTGAGCGAGAAAGTTGCAGTGCTGTAAAGTGCCAGCGTAGCCAAGCCCACAGTCTGAGGGCCAGAGGTCGCACTCAAGTACAGGAAAGGCAAATTCTGCTCCCATGGAAATGATGGCTTTAATGATGGAAATATAATGGGTGGAACTGCTGAATCAGATCCCAAATGCATTAACTTGGCTCTTTGTTCTCTAGTGAATGGATTGAATTCTGTAAAGTTTACTGCATGTGGGTCTTTCAGATGAAACTGTAAAAGCCCAGGTCCTGACTGACATGTGGGTGTTAAGATGTGGGTGTTAAGATCCCAAGGCGTTCTTGATAAGAGCAGGGATTTGTCCTGATACTGGTGGCCAAAATTCTTTCTCTCCTCACACTCCTGTATGTAAACCTTACAGTTATCATCATCTGCTACAGAAAGAGCTGCATTTCTGAGGAGCTTTTTGTATCCAATAGAGTTTATAAAGTACTTAGGGATCCCGTAGGGTGAGATAACAACTTCTAATTTAAAAAAATAGCAGTAGGGATTGTGTTATCCTGGTTGGTGGGACTTCACCCTCACAGAGTAAATATTGTTCTACATCACTCACTTGCCTCCCTGTGAAGGAAGAGGGGTTTGAGGCTAAAACAGCAGGTGACTGTATTAAAAAAGATGTTGGAAAAAACTCTAGTTATGTTCATAGGGCCACTGATCTAGGGCTGGCAAATACTGGCTATTGTCCATGCAGTTTACAAGAACACTTAATAATTCCAGACAGGAACAGGCCAGGGAGTGGTTTGTTTTAAATGTTTAAACTTTCTAGGTGCTCGAATAGGACTGTAAGACGTCTCCTTATCAGGGATGTTAGTTATTGATGGACCATACACACAAGAATCTTATCATTGCTTAATACATAAGGCAAACGTACCTTTTCTGAAATATATAAAATAAGATTTAGCATTTGGATGGATTCCAGATCATATCCTAAGATCTTTTCCCCTTGTTTCATATCCAGTGCTATCCTCAAAAAATATTTTGCGCACTCTTTCCAAATAGATTACAAATCGTTTTCCCCAGCACAGGCACCTCATTTTGCATAATTCATTTGTCTTTGTCTCAAAGCTACTTAAAGCCCTGATTTATGTATTTATTCTTATTGCTATTAATTGGGGGTTAACATGTTTAAAAAGGTATGTGTGGGGGGGAGAGTATTCCTACTCTCTAGGGACATGATATGAGAATGGTTCCAAAGGCTTTCTGAAACCCTCAGTCACTCACAGCAAGGTGCAAATCAATTTATGGAGATCCCAGCTTGAACTGAAATTGTCAGTTTACTTGCCCTGGAGGGGTTGGTGGGGATTACAAGGGAGTTTACCTTCTAGTGATTACCCGGCAGTTATGACCTTTATATTTCATATATGCGTTATTTCCCGTGTTGCCACCATAACTTCTTTCTACCTGTTTAAGGGAAGTGAAGTCAAATCAGGTGGTGTATACCATACATGCAGGAAGCATAGATATGGGGGAATGGATAGGTTTTCAGGTGGGAATTTCAAAGCTGCCTTGCTAAAACAGGAGGGAGAAACCTTGTGAAAATGGTAGTGTGTAGGAGACACTTACTTAGTTTAAAAAACGTCCAAGCATCCCCTCCAACATGTTTTTTATTACATGATCTCTTTCAGAATTAAAGATCTACAAAATATTACTAAAGAAGAGTAAATAGAAGTTGCTGAAGATTAAATCTGAGGGAGAGAAACAATTGTTAACTAGTGGCTAGTTTAGGGAGAATCAAGATTGGCCAGTTTACAGAATCCTTTAGGAATTTGTTCCCATGTATCTAGATATGTTATAAATAGCTTACACATAGCTGGCACCAGTCCTCTGAAGGTCTCAAAGCACAGTGGATAAGTACTATCCCTATTTCATAGATGAAGAAAGTGAGGTGCAAAGAAATTGAGTTACTTGCCAAAGGCCATGCAGTGAGTCAATGGCAGAGGCACTCCCAATTCCTGTTTACAGCCACTAGATACAATTGTAAGCCCTAAAATAAGACCCAGTCCTGCTCTCATTTGAAGTCAGTTGCAAATCTTCCACTGACTTCAGTGGGATCAGGGACAAGCCCTTAGAGTAGATCGTATTCTTTTTATTATTTAATAATAGACAAAAGAATTAAATATAACCAAGTTATTAAGTGTTAGTAAAGATGAATGAAACATTTTTCATCCTCTGTATATTCGAGTTGGAGAGCTAATTAGGCAGAGAATTGGTGAGATCAGCTGTATAGGTCTTCTGTAATGATCACTCTTTGTTCTAATATGGGTAGGCAGAGGACGGTCTAGTCAGAATTGGAAGGAAATGAGATTTGGGACAATAGTTCTATTCCATGCTGCCATTTACTCGTATGTCTACACAGGAAAAAAGTACCCGTGGCGGCGAGTCTCCGAGCCTGGCTCTACAGACTCAAGTTCGCGCTATGGCACTAAAACTGGCTGTGTAGACTTCCCTTCCCCTTCCTGGGGCGCCAGAGCTCGAGCTCCAGCCTGAGCCGTAATGCCTAGGCAGCTATTTGTAGTGCCGTAGTGCGAGTCTGAGTCCACAGCCTGAGGCTGTGAAACTTGCTGCCACCTTATTTTGCTGCTGCGTAGATGTATGTGACTTTAGGCAAGCTCCGATACCTCTGTGCCTCAGCGACTGCTCTGTGAGCTGAAGACAGTCACGCCTACCTGACTTGGTAAAATGATTTGAAATGGGAGGTGCCATATAAGTGCCATGTATTCTTATACATTCTTGTAAATGATTCTTTGCTGATGCTCCACTAAAGCCCTCCCAGTGGAACGTTGCAGGAAACATTGGCCCTTGTGATCTGTGTAGGCTTTGCTTCACTGTTTCTGGATGTCACAATCCAGTATTTGAAGTCGATGCAGTGGGCGGAGGTAGTCAAAAGCTGTTATTTTTACGTACCCTGTGAAAAAAAGAAGAAGTTCAAAGAGTTATTTGATAACCGAAACAGAATGCTCTTTGTGAGACTGAGCCCTTCGATTTCCAGACTTACATGGGAGACTTTGAGAAGTTCCAGCTGAAATCCCCATTGGCTCTGACCCTGCAGTTTTAAGAAAAACACTATTGTAATTTATCAGCACTATCAGTTGGGTAATGTGACAGGCCCTCTCTTGATCAGTGATGCGGGGAAGTGAGAAGCTGATGGTGAAGTCTCATGAGCAAGCACAACCACAGTAAACAAATTAAGTATGACTTGGAAAAACTACTTATGCCATACAATCTAATGTACGTGAAATTAATTGTAGGGATAGAGACATAAGATAAAAAATAGGATCAGCTTAGTGTTCCCCTCCAGAATGTCTCTGTCTCCAGCTCTGAGTATGGAGTGGCTGTAGCCTCTCCATTATTAAGGTTGCCACATGATGTCCTAGTTTTGCCCTCCTACCACTATGGCTTGGAAAATTCATCCAGTCTTGTCAGGTTCATATTGAATGGTACGGGTATCTGCAGGAGGCAATATAAACTTGGCTGATCCCACACTTTCCTTTAAGTTACTGTCTTTTCTGTTCCATGAATATGAATTTTTAAGAATAATATCGTCATTTACCTGTGCAAGAGGAAGCAATGGTTTATAAAACACTCAGAAACCTGGGAATTTCCAAAAATAAAAATGTTTGTTTAAAAATTGGTACAGTTGCTAATGATGACAATGAAGTTATCGATCACATCACTCACAAGCACAGCACTTCGAAGTTAGGTAATGAATAGTTCATCACAGCATAAAAGTTGCATTGCCCACAGCAGAACTCTTGGCTCTGACTCAAATTAAATTAGAGCTGCTGCGGCTGCAATTACATAATACTCTGGTCAAGATTTTCAAAAATAGGTGGCTACATTTGGGCTCCTAATCCCATATTTAGGCTCTAACCCTGCACAGATGCATCACTTACATGAGTGGCCGCACCGAACGTCATGGAACTATTCACATGGGGGTGAAGTTACATGCCCGCATAAGCCTTGGCAGCATGGGGGAATCTGAATCAGTGAATTGGTTTTCACCAGTGCTGAGCACCTATCAGCTCCTGTTGAAGTTAATGGAAGCTGCTGCACGCTCACTCAGCACTGGTGAAAACCAAGCCCCTTAGGTTTCTAAATCCATATTTAGCCACCTAACTTCAGGAACCCATTTTTGTAAATCTTGTCCTTAATAATAATAATAATTAATAATAATTAATAATCTCTAAATGTAAACACACCCTAAATGTCATGTAAAAGAAACGGGGAAAAAAATGTGCACATTCATGACATACACTGATCAGCTGCGGGTACATGACCACATAAATACGCAGTAAATGTTGTCATACATTGACTGGAAGTTGTCTGTGTGGGGAAGCTTGCACTACTTCTGTATAAACAGAGAACTTCAGTTGCAGGGCTGAGAGCCCCAGAATCTTTCATCTAGCAGTCATTCCCCTTAAAAAATTAAACAGAAAAGAAATAGAAATCTGGCTGAATGGAGCTGATCACTAATTTTAGAGCTATCTGATTTCTTACTTGCCAAGGACACCCCCTGCTGCTTTTTACCAACTCTTTAGCACTATTGTTGAAATCTGATAATGATGTTATTGGGACTTGGTCTGTGACACCCATGTTTCTACTCTCCCTGCCTCTGATTTGGCTGCTTTCTTCTATGATGAATGTGGGAATTTTGCTAATATTTTTATTATTCCTATGCATGCTTCAGATTCCCTCTGTGGTTTGAATTGCTATGTACCGAGCACAAAGAGTTTACTTTTGAGGCAGCGCAGAAGATATGAGATGTTAGGTCACCTAACTGTCTGGGGTGGTCATTTAAGGACAGGCTGAAACCGGCCCATATTAGTGGAGGATCCAGGAAAAAATGTGGATAGATAGAAGCTCTTACCCGTGAGACAGACAGACACAGAGAGGGAGAGACAGAGCCAAGATGGCTTCTACAGCAGCTTGGCTGGTTACAGCCCTGACACTGGCCAGTCTAAACTCTGTGTTGGCCTTTGCATCTCTGTACTAACTAACTATAGGACCTGGTAACGCTGTGTTCCAGTTGGCTAACAAACCCCACTCTGTTTCGGAAAGGCTGCCTGAGATCACTGCAAATACTAGCTGAGGTGCATTGATCCCAGAAGAGGACAAAAAGTCTCCTCTTCAGAGACCATCTCAATTGGACTTGCGAAGCAGAGCTCATGGTGTGAAACAGGCGTGCTGGAGCCCAGAGGCTCAGGCTATGTCTACACTAGAAACGAGACAGTGGCACAGCTGGAGCAATGCAGCTATAGAGCTGTAGTGTACACACAATACAGTGACAGAAAGGGTTTTTCCTTCCCCGTAGTAAATCCGCTGCTCTGAAAGGCTGTCTACACTGGGGCTTAGGTTAGTTTAACTATGTCTCTCGGAGGTGTGAATTTTTCACACACTGGAGCAATGGAGTTGGACTGACCTAACTTTCCTTGTGTGGACCAACCCTCAGCCTTGGAGCCAGTGAGGCTGCGTGGGATACCCTTAAGGAAGAGTGGGATCCCCCTGGAAGTCTGATGCACTGAAGGGGTTTCTCTAAGGGATTGTTTAAAAGCTATGGCATAGCGCAGATCCTGTGCCTCCATGACTACTTCATTTTGGCATCATTGTCTGACGTTTTGAAAGTCCACGTGTCACACGCTGGGCCCTGTCAGGTTGAGACGACAGACAGCACTGAGCAGTAAAACCAAATGCCGTACTTGTTCTCTTCAGTCAACACAGACATAGGCACCAAGTTCCTCTTTGCTGTAGCATGCTCACTAAGCTACCGTAGTGAGAGAGCTGCAAGTGTTATTAATGGGTTTTCCTTCTTGTGCTTAACAGCAATATCGGAGCCCAGACTGGAGGCCAAGCTTGTGTCCAGTCCAGACAGTGGTGAGGAGAAGGTGCTGGAAATAAGATGCTCAGTAACAGGGAAACCAGCTCCAATGATCAGCTGGAACCTGTCCCATCGCCTTCAGCAGGAGCCGGGACAGTATCTCATCAATCACTCAGACCAGACTGTGACTGTTATCAGCAATTTCACACATGTCCCCTCCAGGATTCACTGGGAGAACCCAGCTGGCTGTGTGATCCAACATCCGCTCCTAAACCTGACGCTGACTCTGTCCAAGGATGGGCAGGTCCAGGGTGAGTGTGAGCTTGGTGTGGGGAAGAGGAAAAAGGAAGCTGTGTCCTCTGATACAGGAGGGAGAGGAGAAAGAGACAGTTCAAAGGAGGGGAGCCAAGGGCAGAGGAAAGGGAGGTGACCCCAGAAAAGCTGGAAGAGAATGATGGAACTCTTGGTGCAGGATGGAGAGAGGACAAGGATCTTTGGGGCAGCTGAGAGAAGTGGGGAGGTGGGTCTGGTACACATGGGAGAGAGAGAAGAGTTACTGGTGCTGACGCTCACCTAACACCAGGCCACAGAAATAAAATGGCCCCCATAAAAACCTTGGGCACAAACTGTTGTGTATATAAACAGTGCATGAGGCCCTGGTGAAAGGAATTTTGTTTGGAAGTGCCCCTCGTATATGCCGCTGCATGTGGCCTCTCTCCCTTCTCTGTCAGACCCCTGTACCCATAGCCTTTCCTTTTCCTTCTTTCCCTTGGAGAATGATGGAGTATCTGACAGATAGTGGCAGCCCATGTTAAAGGCTTGCTGATTTTCTCTACAGGCCAATCAGCAACAGTCGACACTGTAACAATCTACGTATTGGTTGCTTTGATTCCCTTGGGGCTCTTGTTCATCTGCTTCTGCATCTTGAAGCGAAAACACCAAATGGATAGAAACAAAGCTGATCTATGTTGGGTGAGTCTTCCCAAAATACCTCTCCGGGGGCTAGTCTGTGCTCGTAAATACATCCATGGCTGCTACACACTGGACCCAGACTTTAAACATTGGGCTTGTTAATAGTTGTCAAACTGGCCTCTTAGTGTTTTGTGATTCCTGTTTAAAAATATGACAATGCTGCTGTAACACAATCAAACTCAGGCTTCATTCTTCGAAGTCACAGGGT